GTTTGATAAATACATTTATTTTGTGTTTATTTTATGTTGTATTTATTCTAGTTGTAGTTTGATGTATATTTAAGTGATAATAAAGAATTTTATGTTTTAATTTAGCACTTGTTTGTTTTTTTTCGAACTGGAGTGAGTGGGCTGTTGTGAAAACTTATAGGGGTCAACGATATTGGAAAAGGTTGATTAGCACTGCTCCAGATGATGCCAAATGCTAAAGTAGATTATGCTGCCATCTATTGGCGTAGATTAGTAATGCTATCTTTTTGAGTTTGAGTTTCTTCTCGCATCTGGCGCAAAAGGAAGTGTAGATTATCGTCAAAAAACAACGTGATTGTTAAAAGAAAATGTATAAACGAAACTCTTAATTATTTTAAATATTTTTATACTTATTTTTTAACTTAATTCACACGTAGGTACTATTCTTTAGCTTATATAATCTAAGTCTACAGTTTTAAATTCACGATGGAAAGTTATTTAAATTAAGAAGACAAAGATTACACTGGTGCAAGTTATATTTATTATAATATAGCATGAGAGAGAAAAAGATTATTTAATTAATCATCTTATAAAAATCCCGCACACTAGGTATAATTATGTTTAAAGATTGTCTTAAAAGTAGATAACGTTTCAGCTAACAAAGATAATTTTATTTACAACATGTTTCATTTCACAATCCTTGCATTGGCATTTGTTATAAGCTTTATATAACAGTAACGGTATATATATTTGTTAATTTTCTTCCTTTCTTTGAAGATAAAAGAAACACTTTGGAGTTTATAACACTTTCGAACAATTCAACTTACGTTGTAATTAACGATAATTAGGTTAAGTCTAAATAAAACCAGAACCAAAAAACTGTTGATTTGAACTTTATACACGAATAACACCTTGGATTTTTTACTTATTAAAATTCAAGCTGAGAGTGATTTCTCTTCTGAGTTACAGATAAATGTGATTCTTGTAACATTTGTGAAGATATTTTAATTTTAACGAAACTGCCATAAAACACCGAAGTAAAAGTTATGTTTAACAAAATGTGGGAAATATAGAACAACACAATTCGATATCTAATATTGTGTTAATCAACCTGTTTTTATAATCATACTTTATATTTTAGCTGTATTATTTTACACATAATTTTAACTAAGTGAACGTTTGAGTTTTGTACTCACAGCATGTTATTGAGGTTACAGACTTATTGATGATAAGTTGAGTATTTTCCAACGCATTTTGTATGTATGGGAAGTGTTGAAGAACCAACCAATACATATAGAAATACATAAATTATTGCTGCTTAATCGCTACTGGTGAATTAATGAATTTATATTACACTTGTTATCAAGTATATTGGGAAAAAGCTGAATGAATCTTGTCGATGTGAGATGGGGGATTGGAAATCAGTTAAACAGCTATAAGAACTCGTGTTCCCACAAGTTTTGATGGTTTGTTGCTTCCTTGAAGTATGTTAGCGACCTTTATTATATTTAATTTGGGATATTTTCAATTTCTACTAAATTGTAGGAGATTTCAAAATGATCATTCAAAAATACAAATTTAGTTATCAATTACAGTGTTTTATGCTACTTTTTTCAAGGAATTTATATATAGTTATGCGGATACATGATTAATTGCATAAAAACTTTTCCAACCATTTTAACATAAACGCAAAGTGAGAAAGAGCAGAGTTAGAATGTTATCGCGAGGTCTAGAGTAAATCACCGAATATCTGAACACAACAATATGTATTTGTCAGAGCACTTAGGAACCGTACTTTTACTTGGATTTGTTTTACAAAATATGTAAATTTGCCACTTAAATGATATTATTAGTTAAAATGAAATAACGCTTTTATAAAATCCATAAAATATGGCGTAAAACGAGACATGTAGTAATCCAAAAACATTGTGTGGTTCATGAGGAAATTACAAACTCGAAGAACATATATTTGCATGATATCAAACGAAACTTTACATTACTTCTATAGTTCCGAATCGTCGTTCCATGCTAAAAGTGACGTCATAGCTACGACGTTTTTAGTGCTCCACCTCGTAAGCTCGTAGACGGGCTGAGATTGTCGTTCAATGTGTGAATGTTTGTGCCTAGTTCTGCTCGCTAGAGCTGATTTTGTTCTTGTTCTGGGATTATCACAACTCGACGATGTTTCACTGCTTTCACTAAAGTCCTTTATTTGATGCGCATGCCCATTTCTATCGTCGAATTTCACGTGTTTCTGAGATCTCGAGTGAGACGAGGAGTTATTGGCAGATCTGGATCTTTTGTGATATCTTGATTTAGAAAAACTCTGACTAAAGGTTTCGACTTCTGCTCCCACTCTGCCCCTGTGGCACATCTTTTTATGTTTCTTGCGTCTCTTACGTTTAACGGACTTCTTATTGCTCTGTGTTTCGAGTTCGGTTTGACTCTGTGTGTTATCCAAGTCAGATTCTTGCTGTATGACAATTTTTGGCATCAGTTTTTTGTGGGGAAGTTTAAGATTGAAACCTTGTTCTGACTCTAGCGGCTGCGCAGAAGCTCCAGCATCAGATACAAAGGCAGGATTGTCTATTCCATGCAAGGTGTTTAATTTGGTTTTATTACTTTGTTCAACTTCCGAACGAGCCTCATTACTTTGATTTGGAACGGAGGATAGTTCACTTTGTTGGGTGGGGAAGGAATCTTCGGTATTTATTTTAGGAATTGTAGTATCTTGTATAATGAGGGATAGGTATTTTGTTCAGGAGATGGAGAAGTTGGTCGTGATTGGGAACTTACACTATCACGATGGCTTCCTGTAGGAGTTTGTGGTCGACCAACTTCCAAGTCGTGTGCCCAAGCTAACTGCTGGAACAAATCTCCGAAAGATTTTCCTCCAGTAGGTGTGGCACTTTCTTTGTCACTTGGCGAAGCTGATTGAGGTGTAACAGAACTTTTACTGAAGTCTAAATCGTGAGCAAACGCAAGCTGGTTCAAAGCGACTCCTAAACCATTTCCAGAGTCTATCGCAGCTCCCCTCTCACTGTCGGAGTCATCACTTTTGTCCACTGGAGAGGGTTTGCAAGCAGATGTAGAAAAGTGATGGTTAATCCTGTACTTCTGTCTAAACTGTTCCGCTGTACCACCACACTGACGTAGTTCCTGAATCACTATTTTACCAAATCTCTGAAAAAATATAGCCAGGCATTAATTGTAGAACACTAAAAGATTCACTTCACAGTAAATTACCTATGTTCACTTAGTGGCTTTCCAAAGCACTTTGCATTATTCTGTAATAACGTAAATCTGGATTATTACATGGAGTTTTCTACTAATCATAAAATCAAAATGAGTAGTCTTACTAATAAGTAGAAACAAGTGCTCTGAAAAAAAAGAAACAAAAACAAACGAATATTAAACATGTAGGTGTTTTTCCTTGTTTTTCGATGTTTCAAAATGGTCACCATTATGATCACGTTTTAGTTTCCCCGTACTTCTGGTCTTATACTAATATCATATTTAATGAAAGTGATTAAACAATTTAATAAAGAGTTTAATTCATGCTAGCTTAATGTGTCACAGAAATAATCTTTTATACATTTTAATTACTCTGAATGTATGTAAAGTAAAACTAAACTGCTGTTTTCAAATTCGATGACGAGGAACCCACTTTGAGACTAATAATGGCTGAATAACGGCTTGAATGGGCAATGAAGAAAAACTTTAATATAAGTTTAACATAACAGCAAATGTACAATCTTTCGACAAAACCTTTTCTTCATTACCCATTCAAGCCGTCTCCAAACATTATTAAACTGCTGTTTATTTATCTATCTTCTGCGTTATAAACTTTGTATCACAGGAGGGGTGTTCACTATCTGTGGTAATGAAATAAAGATGACCCCTAATGTATGATTACAATTTTCGCATATACCTAAAATCTTGAAAATACACTGGCACCAGCCCCTCTCAAATCACAAAACAGAAAGGAAGACTAATAGTGGAAGTATTATATCACATTGGATGAAGCACATATGTGTCTGTAAAAATTTATTAAAAGTTATTATTGTCTTTCTGATAACACCTTCCGAAAATGGTATAGACTATGTCTAATTTTTTCCCATGAAATTTATGGTGGTTGCAGGTCAACTTTAATGGTAAGTTAAGCATCTGGAAAGTCTAACATAAATGAAAAAAACAGAGTTCTGCATACTATAAGAATAAGGTGTTAACACTACTATACCATTTGTTTGTGTTACAACAAAGTAACATTGGGCTATCTGTTTTGTCCACTTCGAGGAATCTAACCCCAGATTTTAGCATTGTAAGTCTGTAAACTTACTGCTTTTGCACTGGGGGATCTACTATACCGACAAAATGCATCTTTCTACAGTAAGACAATAAGCTATGGTATCATCAAGACAACACAACCAACTAAAACACATCCACGTCAATATCATCAGATCATGCCTCTTGTGTTGTTTTGGCATTCATAAATTCTAACCATCACACTTCAACTGAATTGGAAAAAAATATACACGTCATGGTCTTTTAATGTGTGAAATCACAGGTTACAGGATAGCTAGGGGCAAGACGATTGAGTATGCAATTTCTTAACATAAGTGTATTTTCCGAAACGTTGCAAATAATTCAATACAGTAAAATAAAAAGCAATCTTTACTAATAAATATTTCAATATTTGAATATTGAATATTTGAAGATATTTTGAATGATGCGTTGCTTATTTAGAGCGGGTTGTTAGCATTTTTGTAAGCAGTGCAAAACTGATTTTATTAATTAGAAATGGAATTTATGCAGTTTTTTTACTTATCCTTAAACATTTTAAATCAGATTGCATCAACTAGTTAATGCTGTTTTGATTTGGCAAAATAATAATAAAAAAACACAAACATTAATATTTATGAAGCTTTGGAGCGGTTGAACGAAAACCTCGAGAAATTACTAAAATTGTAAAAGTAAAAAAAATAAAGCTTCAATATTTAATGATAAGTCTGATCCTAGTTTTGAATTACGCGTTTAACAAAATTGGTTGATTGGTATATTTTTTCTATCATTTTACGAAATCATTTAAAATCCGTTTATCAGTACTTCTTTATATGTACGCGTTGTATCGACCAGCATTGTTGTTTAGAGGTATTAAAACTCAAAGAGTCATTTGTTTCAGCTTAAATGTTAAATTTAAAATTGGTGCATTAACTATTATTCATTATGTACTGGTGTATTAAACATTAGATGTTAAGTCTTGGTGAATTAACTATAATACAGTAAGTCTTGGTGTATTAAATATTATATATTAGTGTAAAATAATGTATATTGGAGTGGTTTTTAATTGACCAAAGCTGTGCAATTGAATATGTAAAATAGTTCTAAAATTAGTGATAAAACTTTATTCGTAGATAAAGGTACGATTATAAAAATGTACACTCTTATAAAACTTCGCTTTTAAATATGCAACTATAAAGAAATTTAAATGTTAAATAAAATTTTCCACTGGGCAAGTTCAGAAAACAGGGATGATATTAGTAATTTACAACGCATAATATTTTAAAGTTTCATTTTGAATATTAATAATTTGTATCAGTAAAATGAAGATTAAAAACAAATTTAGAAATATTAATATATTTTATGTATAATCCACTTATTTTACATGCAAACAAAGTTTAAGTTAAAATTAAGTGAAAGGCAATATTTATAGAATATTCCAAATATTTCACTAATATTATTTTTACCTTCCAGTTTGATAAAGCCCCTTTCCTCTGCTTTGCCTTTGACTTTGATTTACTTTTTATTACCATCACTGCTCGCTGCTCTTTCTCAGGGTCATCATCACCAGAGGGCGAAGCCAGTCGAATGGAATAGCTCTGCATATACTCTTTAGCCTTCTTTTGGCTAACAGCTCTCTCTAGGGCCACAACGATTTTAGCCCACTGTTAAATGTAATTGATAATAGTCATAACGCTTCCCAGTAGAAATAATCATTGCTAGACAACGAGTTTAAGGAATGACTAGAGTTTTCTATTGTTTTCTTTTTTTCACAGGTTCGAAACTTACTTACGATAAATTTAAACAACATATTCTAATCGAAAACTGGCTAGATGATTCAAGATTTTTACAAAATCCATTATTCATAATTAATGATGCTAGTAAGTATTATAAACGTTATTAACATGAATTGTTATGGTGTAAACGTCTTTTACAATCTGGCTGAGCATAATTATAATTAATTATACTTGACATGAGACATTATTTTAGGCTTATTACATTTTAGCACTAAATTCTTAATCAAATCCCTTAGGGATTTCCAGAAATTAGAAGAGTGTATTATAACAATAGTATTTCAACCACACTATATTCGTCATATCCGTTGTCGACGGCGCGTTTCGCTCAATCCAGAGTTCTCCATGTCGGCTAGATATGACGAATATAGTTTGGTTAAAATACTATTATTATAATACACTTTTCTAATTCTTGAATGCCTCTAAGGGACTAGATTAAGAATGTAGAGTTATATAATATAAGAGGCCTAATATAATACATTATGACAAAAAGAATTAATTATAATCCGAAGAATGTTTATTTAAACTTAAAAATATCATCAATGCTATTCATAACAGTGTTTACTGATACTAAAACTACTATAATGTTCTCAACGAAACTAAAAACCATTATAAACGTTCTCTTCAAGAATGTTTACAAAAACTGTTGTAAACGTATCCACAACAATGTTTCAGGACACTAAAAACTATTATAAAAGTTATATGTTTCTACGAATAAAAGTTATTGTAAATGTTCTACACATTAAGTTTTAATAATACAAATAATACTAAAAATGTTCTCTACAATAAGTTTTAATAACACAAATAACTACTAAAAATGTTCTACACAATAAGTTTTAATAATACAAATAATACTAAAAATGTTCTCCACATTAAGTTTTAATAATACAAATAACTACTAAAAATGTTCTCCACATTAAGTTTTAACAATACAAATAACTACTAAAAATGTTATCCACATTAAGTTTTAATAATACAAATAACTACTAAAAATGTTCTCCACATTAAGTTTTAACAATACAAATAACTACTAAAAATGTTATCCACATTAAGTTTTAATAATACAAGTAACTACTAAAAATGTTATCCACATTAAGTTTTAATAATACAAATAACTACTAAAAATATTCTCCACAATAAGTTTTAATAATACAAATAATACAATAAATGTTCTCCACTACAATATCTATTGATATGAACAAATATGATGAACATTCTCCACCACAATATTTACTAATATTAATAACCTTCATAAATGTTCTCCGTAACAGTTTATTAATACTAATAGCTATTATAGACATTTTCCCCCATTGTTTACTGGTAATATTAATTATTACAAACAAAAACGCAGGAAACATATTTTTAAATATTTGATATCTTTATTATCAAGAAGATATTTTCATCATCTGTGCGCTATGTTTACTGACTGCAATAAAACATTTAAACCATTTTTGTTCTTACTATATACCACAAACAAGATATACATACCTATATATTGCTTCAATGGCAATGATTAAGGTATTCGTTCTCTCTCTCTTTTCTAGTATATGAGTTGGAAAGAAGCAATATTATTTTTTAATGACGACGTCATTTAGTTATTGCATCAATGTATTCCGTGACACTTACTTGTTTGAGAAATTTTCATTCAAATAGTTGCAGGACTTCATTTAGACTTTTCCGGGACATTCATCTGCCCGATGAAACCTCAGTGAAACTGTTCCATGACACTTATATACTTGATGAAACTTCGTTCAAACTGTTCCAGGACACTTACCTGTTTGAGAACGCCCCATTCACACCTTTCTAGGACACTTATCTGCTTGATGAAACTTCATTGAAACTAACTGTTCCAGGACACTTACCTGCTTGATGAAGCTTCATGAAAAATTGTTCTGGAACACTAACAAGCTTGGCGAAACGTGGTTCAAACTGTTCTGGGACACTCACCAGCTTGATGAAACCTAATTAAAACTGACCCGGAACACTTACTTGCTTGATGAAACCTAATTAAAACTGACCCGGAACACTTACTTGCTTGATGAAACCTAATTAAAACTGACCCGGAACATTTACTTGCTTGATGAAACCTCATTCAAACTGTTCCGGAACACTTACCTGCTTGATGAAGCTTCATGAAAAATTGTTCTGGAACACTAACAAGCTTGGCGAAACGTGGTTCAAACTGTTCTGGGACACTCACCAGCTTGATGAAACCTAATTAAAACTGACCCGGAACACTTACTTGCTTGATGAAACCTAATTAAAACTGACCCGGAACATTTACTTGCTTGATGAAACCTCATTCAAACTGTTCCGGAACACTTACCTGTTTGACGAATTCTCGTTCAGATTGGGTTATTACTTCGCAATACGTATTTCCCATCATAGCAATCAGCATGTTAAGCATCAGGATAGGCATGATAACCATGAAAACAGCGAAGACAAACCACGTTAATGCACTGTAGAAAGTATCGCTGAACTCGGAGTACTAGACACAAACAAAGTGTTCAGAGTCAAATCCAGTGAAAAATATGACGAATAAAGCAAACGCCCTATAGTCTACAATTATGTATGGTGTTTTAAGTTGTCTTTACTCGCCGAAATGAACCCATATTTATATTATTTTTGAAGAATATGTAGCTTTAATGCTAATAATTCACTCTTTTCAATTATTCAACAGACAAATTGAATAAATTGTAATATATGAATAGAACATCAGTATAAGGACATTGTTAATACCAACTTATGAAAAACTGTAAAACACAAATAATGAGAGATATGTTCATGTAAAATACGCAAGTTAGTGTTTATATGTTTGCATGGCAAAAGTGGAGTCACTGGCTGTATGCTTATATAATGAAAGTAAAAACAGCGTCTTTGTATTTACATAATAACGTAGTAACTATTTGTATGATTGATTACATGAACGCACAATTAATGTCTTTATGCTTACATAATAAGCGTATAGTCATTATCTGTCCGTTTATATAATAAACGTAGATCCACTATCTTTGTTTATATAACAAACGTAGAGCCGTCACTCTCTTTATGTTTACATGAATGTAAAGTTACTGTCTTTATGTTTAGATGAACGTAAAGTCACTGTTTTCATGATAAAATAATAAGCGTAGAGTCTCTATGTGTATGCTCATATGATAAACTTAGAGTCGCTATCTTTACTTTTATATAAAAACGTAGAGCCGCTATCTTTATGTGTACATAATAAACGTAGAGACAATATCTGTATGTTTACACAAACGTAAAGTCACTCCCTTAACTGTCAACATAAAGACAGAGACTCGAACTAGTTATATTACATCTTGGAAAACTTCACGGGAAGAGGAGTAAAATGACGCTCTTCCTTTAACCACCTTTTCACAATATAAAGTTTTTAAAGGAAGATTGTATTTATTTCTGTGGTTTCTAAATTGATAACAAACCTCCAAGTCCTAGTGATTATCATGAGAGTGAATCATGGTTTCTTGTTTTGTGGTTATTAGATTGATTCTATATGTATATTAAACATTTACCTCGTAATACCCTAAAGTCATATGGAATAGGGCCATCCAGGTTTGTGAATATGTCTTAAATCGTTGACTCTCTCCAGTCTGATTTTTAAACAGGAAGAAAAAAGCTGCAAAAATAGAACAGGTTAAATTAAAGTACGGTTAAAAAGTAGTATAAAAATTAATATGAAGTTCAGGAACCAATACTTGCCAGTTACAGTAATATTTCTTCATTACACATTTTTCACTGAGAAACATAGAAATGAAAATAATTTACAGTGACTGTTTAAAAGAATTCATATAATATCATTAACACAATAGTTAAACAATTAGTTTATACTGGTTATTCTAATGCTATTTCGAGTTTGAAAATATAACTATTTGAATAATTTATGTAAATCAAGCTGTTCTTTGTTATTGTTTAGATGTTTCTAGAGTTAATTTTTTTTATTAAGTAAAAAGCCACACAACAGGCTATCTGTGCTGTGCTGACCACGACATATTAACCGCTGAACCACTGCACTTACAGAGCGAGTGACTTTTGTTAGTGCGTTTATATTTACAGAATCAATGGTGTCTGTTCGTGTACTTTTATTATTAGAACGGCTGTGTTTAGTTAGTAGATACTATATTATGTTTTGCTATCCTACAATTATAAATTACGAAGGCAGCTTATAAAAATAATAGCATGCTCTAGCTTATCTCTAACAAAATATCAGAAAGTAGTTGTTTAAAACATTAAGGTGCACTTGCTTATAACATTAGAGTGCACTTGCTTAAAACATTGGCGCGTATTTGTTCAAAATACTAGGATGTACTTATTTAAAAAATTAAAGAGCACTTGTTTAAAAATTGGGCAGTACTTGTTTAAAACATTGGCGTGTATTTGTTTAAAATACTAGGATGTATTTGTTTAAAAAATTAGAGTGCACTTCTATAAAATATTAGAGTGCACTTGTTTAAAACATTAGAGTGCACTTGTTTGCGTGTATTTGTTTAAAATACTATGATGTACTTGTTTAAAAAATTAAAGAGCACTTGTTTAAAAAATTTGCGTGGACATGTTTAAATTACTAGGATGTATTTGTTCAAAATATTAGGGTGTCCTGTTTAAAACATTGGGTTGCACATGAGGGGACACTACCTGAATAAATATCATGAATCATTTGGAAGTATTAAGACGATTAGAGACATTTTATATATTTCGGGAGGACACCAGATGTATTTACTTTTCCTTATACGGCTATTAACACGTGTGTGCGTGGTTGGTACCTTTATTTTTTATGCGGTGTTATATGTGTAGCTTATGTGTTTCTTCCTCTAAACGATGTGACATTATTCAACAATATTTAATGTGGTGTAGCTTATGTGTTTCTTCCTCTAAACGATGTAACATTATTCAACAATATTTAATCTGGTGTAGTTTATTGAGTTTCTTCCTTTAAATGGTATAATATTATTCAACAATATTCAATCTGATGTAGTTTATTGTGTTTCTTCCTTTAAATGGTATAATATTATTCAACAATATTCAATCTGATGTAATTTATTGTGTTTCTTTCTTTAAATGGTATAATATTATTCAACAATATTCAATCTGATGTAATTTATTGTGTTTCTTTCTTTAAATGGTATAACATTATTCAACAATATTTAATCTGGTGTAGCTTATGTGTTTCTTCCTGTAAACGGTATAATATTATTAACACTATTGAATGTGATGTTGTTTATGTGTTTCTTTCTGTAAACGGTATAATGTTATTAACACTATTGAATGTGATGTTGTTTATGTGTTTCTTCCTCTATAACATTAATGAACGATATTTAATCTGATGTTGTTTATGTGTTTCTTCCTCTATAACATTAATGAACGATATTTAATCTGATGTGGTTTATGTGTTTCATCTTCTAAGCAGTGTAGAATTACTGAATAATGTCAAAAGTCTTTTATCTAACTTCAACACTAAAATCAATTCACAAAAACTGTGCTTTAGATTAGACAGCATTGTACAAAATTAACTGAAAATGTCATTTGTTATCTTCTGTCACTTTGAAGTTCACTGCTTGTTTCATTGTTAAGTTTAGCTCTTGAGTTGATTGGTTCCTCCTTCTCTGAACTCTTACCTTGCGTGAACCCTAAGAGAAAGATCAAGTAGATGATGCTAAATCTCACGATGTCTCCGACTAACATGTTGTAGATCATAGTTACAAACGGACCTGTCAATTTTACAGCCCTAGAATAAGAAATATTTCATAATGTCAGGAAAATAAGTTAGCTATTGTGCTATCTGTCTTCATCATACATTGTACGATTTGAAAATAGACATTATCCTTCGATTACTTGTTTTATAACAAACATTAAGTGTAAATCAGTAAATGACAATAGGCCCATGCACGTGCTTTTTACTATCTATTTATTTATGTTTTACAATTTTGGTACAAAATGGAGATACAAAATATGTATAGATAACAGACATGAAATAAGAACGCGCAAAAGATATCATAATATAAAATATAAGTAGGAAGTCATTCTTGTTACACATTGGAAGTCATTCTTACCACACGGCGGAAGTAATTTTCTCCCACACAATGAAAGTCATTCTTACTATACAGTAGAAGTAAGTTTTTTTCTATACAGAGGAAATCATTCTTACTACACTGTGGAAGCAATTTTTTCCTACACAGTGAAAGTCATTGTTAAGATATAGCGGAAATAATTTTCTCCTGTACAGTGGAAGTCACTCTTACTATAAAACAGAAGTAATTTTCCCCCATACAGTGAGCTCTATTTTATTCTTACCCTGCAAAGAAAATAAGGAAGAACCAGGAACCAGGAATTGCAAATGTAAGGAGAACATCTTCAGTGTGTCTGTACCCCATTAGTCGACACGGCACACAGCAGAGGATAAGAATATTGGCGATAAGGAAGATTGCCTTGGCAGGATTACTACTCTGTAACAAACATTAGAAACTTAGGAAAACTATTAGACGTCATCATGTGGGGAACTTAACAGTTTTAACAGTTGCACGTGACTCTAATAACTGTTGTTATTTGTTATGCTTCTCAAATTAAAACATTTCGGTTAATAAATGTGATGATTTTGTTACATCTTTAAAATTAATATAACAAAGTGAGATGCTAAGTATATGCCTAAAATCACTTCGAATCTTTCATTTTCTTTGTTTTATGTAGCTGTTTTAATTTAATTATCAACTATGTCTATAATTTATATTAAATCATACAAAAACACTTTGATTATAGGTCATCAATAAAACAAAAAATCCTTAGTCTAGTTAGATGATAATAATTATTGCGTCACGAGGTTGTGCACTTCTCATAAGATAATTGTTGACTTAAAAATTACTCCACCCTATTCTGATTGTAAAGGTTTGTTACATGAATTACTGTTACGTAAAAATATACTTAGATTTTTTAAATATGTAAAAGTTTGAAATATTTTCATTGTCATTCTTTAATATATACCCCTTTGGGTTAATAGCGTCGACATTTTTGAAAGTTACATCCAATTATTGATCTGATCATTTGAGCAGCAATATAAAACTCAATTAATAATGGACTTTGTCGTTCTTTTTCATATATGTAAACAATTTTAGTAATACATCATGATGTAATGAATGACAATAAATTCAGTTATCAGATAGCTGATAGTAAAGATTGTAAACTTACAAGATTGATAAGGAAGCCCAGGAGACCTTGAGACATTATTTCTTCGCCTTGTTGAAAAACAACGAACCCTATACATCCCAGACAGGTTACCAACTCAGCAAAATATCGACACTACAGAATGAGCAAAAAATTGAGATTTTAACATGAAAAGTTTTAGGAATGTGTTTTACTTCTATTATCACAATCCGACGTCTAGCATGTGACAAAACCAAAACCATCTTTAGACCTTGTCAAGTAAATCAATAAAATAAATGAATAATGCTTATACATAAGGCTTCAATAAGCAAAACGAAACAATTCGGAATATTTCTTTGTTCTGGTTTTGGAAATCTTGCTCATGTAGCACTTAATATAAAAATGGTTAAAATAAGAAAACCTCAAAATTTTTAACAAAACAAAACAAACAAAGATATAGAATTGTACCTACATAATTCCCGAAAAACTAGTACACCAAGCACTTACAATGGAACGCAGGTCAGAGGGGCCAAGTAGGTTGCCATCTGATGAGGAGCGGAGAGAAACAGCAATACTAAGAGCAATCAGGTGTAGGAACATGAGTACCAAACGTTTCAGAAACTCTTTCTAAAAGTAGTGAAAACGATTTAATTAGCATAAGTATTTTACAAGCAAAACAATTATCAATTTTGTATGTTGAAACAAAAATACACACAATTCAAACAAATCTTGCTACGTTACTAACTTCTCCTTTAGACTACATATTTATTGTGAAGTTTCAATAATACATACTTCCAGTATTGTAGAAGCAGAATAATTTCAATGAGAAACACTATCTGCACTGTAGAAACAGTATAAAATATCAATAAAAAACTGCGGGCATTATAGAAACAGAGTAAAACTGAACAAAATAACACTAACAGTGTTGTATAAACTGAGTAACGTTTCAGTACATACACTTTTAGTAGTGTAGAAACAATGTTAAGTTTAAAAGAAACTTACAGTATTGTAGAGACAATATTAATTTAAAACAAATATTGACAGTATTGTTAAAACAACATTAAGTTTCAATAAGAAATATTGCAAGCATTTTAGAAGCATAATAAAGTTCAACAAGAAACAGTACCAGTGTTGATAAAATACTGTGAAGTACAGTTAGACCAATTGTAAGTATTGTAGAAACAATGTTAAGTACCACTATGAAACACTTCTATTATTGTGGAAACAATGTTAAGTTTAAAAAGAAATACTGTCAATATGGTGGAAATAATGTTAAGTTAAAAAATAAACACTGCTAGTATTGTAAAAACAATGTAAGGTTTCAACAAGAAAAATTTCCAGTATTGCAGAAACAATGTAAAGTTTCAATAAGAAATAATTCCAGTGATGTACAAACAATGATAAACTAAAAACAACACTGCTATTATTGTAGAAACAATATCATGTTTAAAAAAACAAACACTGCAAGTATTATTGAAACAATATTATGTTCTAAGAAAATAAACACTGCCAGTATTGTAGAAACAATGTAAAGTTTCAAAAAGAAACACAACAAATATCGTTGAAACAGTGCAAGTTTTAATAACAAACACTGTTACTATTATAGAACTGTATACAATTTGAATAAGAATCACTGCCGGTATTGTAGAAATGTTGTAAGCTTTCTTAAAACATTCTGACACGAGTATTGTATAAACAAATATGTTGCTTTATATTTTATTTGTATCCACAAATAGAACCTTCAGACAAGATTACTTATTTTCAAAATTTTCTTCTGAATTTATCTTTTTCATTCTAACAGAAACATTTATGCATATTATCAATAAAAAAAATATATATTTTGTTAGCATAGCCTTACTCTGGCGAAGGTTTTCCATTTTTCTTCTAGAAGCCGCTGGATGACTCCACCATCGAGCATGTCAAGATGTTCATTAGTTTTTCCATTTAAAATAATCATGAGGGCAGAGTTCCAGTCTGCAGTCAAACAGAAGTTTTTTGTGGTTAGAAGCGTGATATATATATATATATATATATCTTATTCTCTCGTCCCAGAAGATATCAAACTGTTTGTTTTCAACATTTTCCCAAAGTTATACAAGGGATATTTACGTTACCCGTCCCTAAATTTTAACTGGTGAATAAGAGAGAAAGCAGCTAGTCAACAATTTGGGGGCCAACTCATGGGATAATCCAATCGAACAGTGGAATTGGATCGTCACTTGTATATTGCACTGACGCCCTTAAAGTGTGGAACGCGAACTTGCAGCAATGAGATTCGATCCATGGACCCTCGGGTTCACAGCTCGGCATTTTAAGCTCAGAGAACAAACAAAATATGTAATGTCTGATGTTCAAAGCATTATTGATTAGTTATATAACAAGATTAGTAAAAATTCTTAATTTAAAAAAGGGAATAAGGATTGTTTAAAAAGTAGAGAAACAAGTTGAATCAAAATGCAAAGGTTATTTTCATGCCTACAGCTAAGAAAACTAAAAAAAATTAAACAAACTAGGCTGGAGTTGTAGCTTCAGAAAATAATGTAGACACTATTTCTAGACTTGTTTGTTTAAGTTTTACAGTTCCTGGTTGTAGTCTTAAAAATATAAGTTCACAGGACGACAAAATTAAGGAGGTTGAATTAAGTTTAAAACTACACTCAGTTTTTTTTTGTAAAATTCCTGTGCGATCCCACACTACAATAGATATCACTTCAAAGAATTTTATAGTGGCGTCATAATTAAGGGTTTGTGGCTTGAGTAAACTGTCAGCAGTAGATCTCTAGCCTTGTTTGCTTACTTTTTTTGCAATCCTTACTTGTAGATTTTAAATTCTCAATTTTTAATTATGTTGGCTTTTTTTAATGCATAGAAATGGGCAAATATATGCTTAGAGTAAGACACAACCCTCACTAAAATTTTACCAGTAAAAAAAAACATATTTTTTAAATCAAACAAATACGTCTAAAACATTGCTTTAAACAAAGCTTAATGTTTTTTAAAGTAATTATTTACTGAACCAGGTGGTTTAAGTAACACGCATCGAGTACAAAAGCAGCAGCTCAGAACAACATAGTATATATTATTGATTTATAACAAATAAATCAATTTGTGAATAGGTCATGGACATTTGCAGCGTTCGATATAGTACACCTGTCAAGGTTTTGGTGAAAAGTGTATAACCAAATAAATCAATTTTCGATGAATAATAATCAATTCGTGAATAGGTCATGGAAAACCTTGACAGGTGTACTATATCGAACGCTGCAAATGTGGTGCAAAATACCTAGCCGATTTTGCTGTAGGCCTGTGAAACAATAATATGAACAAATGAACAAATTTTGCTTGTTATCAATGTTTGGATGGTCTTAACTATTAAAAACGAAGGTTTAAAGTGTTGTTTCATGAGTAAGTCTGCTTTTTAAGGTGGTTTTTGCCCAAATGTTCTATTAGAGTTTTGAGCAAATTCCTGTGCGATCCCTATCATGAATCACTATCATAGATGAGTAATATAGAATTATAGGTGAGTAATAGAGTATTATAGATTAGTAAAATAATAATATAGGTTAGTAATATAGAGTTATAGATTAGCAATATAGAATTATATATTAGTATAGATTAGTAAAATAATAATATAGGTTAGTAATATAGAGTTGTAGATTAGCAATATAGAATTATATATTAGTATAGATTAGTAAAATAATAATATAGGTTAGTAATATAGAATTATAGATTAGTAATTTAGTATTATAGATTAGTAATACAATAATATAGACTGACAACATAGTATTATAGAATTATAGATTAGTAATATAGTATTATAGATTATAGATTAGTAATATAGTATTATAGAATTATAGATTAGTAATATAATATTATAGAATTATAGATTAGTAATATAGTATTATAGATTAATGGTTGTCATGCGACTTGCAGATATGAATATTCAAAATCATTTTAACATCTATTACAATAATACTCTATTTTTTGTCTTGAAAACGCGTGCACACCTTACTATCTAAAGTTTTCGAAAAGATCTAACGTTAGGTCATATAATAACATTATAAGTTTATTTATTGATATTATTAAATACGGTAAAGTTTACCCCTAACTAAACTAAAGCAAAACAACTTACAGAAGTTAAAGTGTTAATATATTTCTTTTCGAATATAGGTCGTACTTAATGAAGGCTTAACTAATGTTAGGACTTAGATAAGTAGACTTATAGATTTCGGTGTCTGTGATTAAAATTCTTTTGTGTTATTCAATAAATTCTGTACTTAGAGAAATAATGTTGCAATAAGGATACTATTTTGACCCGCAACTGTTTTGTGGGTCTCTACTAGTAACATTTTACTAATCTGTTGTCATGCTAAAATTATGAAACCTAATTGTATATTCTTGAAGATATTGTTACGACAGCGGAAGTCGCGTGACGTTTGGAGCATGTGCGCTGGAGTTTCTCGAAGGATCATGAATGTCCGAGTGTTTGCTAGACGCCCTCTTTTTTAGTATATAAGCCTGGCAAGAAAAACCAGCGCGATTGAAGACAGGCAGATATAGATAATTGAGTCAAGCGAACAGTAGGCGCCGTAAATAAAGTGAGTGAATCGCTGTAAATTATAGCATGTGTTTATAAAAGCAGTTAAGTCTAAAGTGACTGTGAAAATTCTGTGTATTACTAAAAGTTGTATCAATAAAGAATAAACTAGTTTTGATCAAGACAGGACTTGTATCGCTGAAATTCTTCGAAAAGAATTTCTACCGGAAATTAACAAACAAGCAGAAACGTAACAATATGTTTCTAACCGAAACTTTATGCAATTATGAAGTACAGATTAATAATATAGAACTATAGATTAATTATATGGTATTTTATGTAAGTAATACAGTAGTATAGATCAGTAATAAGGTATTATAGATTATTAATATAGAATCATAGATTAGTTATACAGTATTATTGATTAGTAATATAGCATTATAGATTAGTTTCTCTAAGAAAACAACAAAATCTGAATAAAGTAATGATCTAACCTATATAAACGCCAGTGTGTGTCACGTCACATTTGATTTCTCGAAATAGGATGAGTTATAAAAGTCAAATACATTTATCCAGATAGAATAGTTGGATTACTGTCTGCCCATTAAGATTTTAGTGACGGGGCTGCAAGAAGGTCGTGAGGGCGGGGCGTGCCGTGAAATCTTATAAGAGTAATGAGTGTTGGTATAATAAGCCTAAAGTAAAGACGTAGTGTGGAATCAGTTAGCCTAGAGCCAAGTGCATAAAATTTATCATGAAAGTAAAAATATCGATTCAATTTTAAACTTAAATCGTCTCTGAATTAAGCCATTTCCTGTTATATCACCAACGTTTTTTATATAAGGAAAACCTATTTAATCAACGGAAACTCAAATTAAGAAATCAACTAATATTTTTCAAGTTTTGTAGTCTATACATTTTATTCTATACTTTCAGTACATAGACTAACAATAATATTGGGTTATACTTTTGTTGCTAAGCAACATTACATAAAAGCCGTTGTTGGGATGTAGTGTTACGAAAATGCTCTTCCTTTTCTATGTATTAGAAGTTGTATATCTAACTGATTTTTTACCAATAAATATTCCATGAATACACCATGAATTCATTTCATGAATAATCTTAATTTTGATTGGCTCACAAAGGAATTTATCGATGTTTGACTGTCTCGACTTCACTTTTTTGCATCTTTGTTGGTGAAGCTTGATTTCGCAAAAGCTATTGATTTCAGTTAGCTATGAAATGTGAGGTTAGGGTATACTCTGGGGTGGGGGGTGGTAGTACTTTCCCTGTCATTTTTGACGGGCTATACGCTAGTTATTAGATAATACTTTCATATTCGTAAAACTGCTGCTTCAACTTGCTGTTTGTTTGCTTTTTGTTAAGCGCAAAGCTACACAATGGGCTATCTGTATTTTGCCCATCTCGGGTATTGAAACCCAACTTTTAAGACTATAAGTCCTCAGACTTATCGCTAAACCAACAGGGGCCCGTTGCGTAAAGAATCATAGCAATAATAAGTAACATTACTAAGATATACAGTGCTTTCGTAATGCACCGTATGATAGTGTGGCGAACAAATAAAACTTTATTTTTTATAAACCAGATTAAAAGATGGAGAAAGCTGTAAAAAGATTACTAGACAAAAATGGATGTAAAAATTAAACAATATAAGCTGTTACAGGAAAGGACGATGAAAGGAAAGCAGAAATATTTTATTTAAGTTATAGGTGTAACAAGACAAAATGATAATATTTGCTTTATAAAAGGGTTGTTAAAAGGAAAACGAAACGGTTTAGTAGCAGAAGGAGATGAAGAAAGGAAAACCAAACGAAGTAGTATGGGAAGGAATCGGGGAAAGGAAAACAGAACATTTTCATATAAGAAACGGCTGTGGAAAACACAAAAGAAAGATTTGGGAGGGAAAAGAAAAAATGAGTTGGTATGTGAGTAATGGGTTGTATTGGAATAGAGAAAATTTATACAATAAATATTATAAACATAATACCTTAAAAGCCGATAATTTTAAAGTCAATTAAACTAAGAGGTCTATAACATTTCCTTCCAGAAAAAACATTTTCTTCACGCACTTCACATTTGATTTTTTGATTTACATTGAACAAATAGTTGTACGTAATCATTGGTTTGCATGATTCACATTTTATGGTGAGATTCAAGACAATTTATCCTTTTTTTGTTTCATATGTAGGTTTTTTTACTGTTTTCAGTTCTCTGCACCTCTACAAGGAATCTTTTACAGCAGGTTAAATACCAAACATTATGCAGTTCTTGTGAATAGTTCTTTGGAAGGTGGTAATCACAAACATTTGATCAATACTATTACTTGATTTTTCATAATAACCAACCATGAAATGGCACAACCCACATTGATTTGCATTCAACACTCAATCAAAGATAAAGGTAATCACAATGTACTTGCTACCAGTAGGTCGCAACAACTACCTAAATGTCAAGGCGCCTGATACTCCTACATGAATGGTGTCAATTGCTACTACATCAACACAATATGATATTGAATTCCCAAGCAGGAAATGCCTACACACACATTGAATAGTATTGCCTATCGATCAAGCTAGAAGTTTGGAAAGTGAAACAAAACAGACACACTAGACCAACAGTAACAAACTATAATGAGTCACGCTATTTCTGTCGCTTTTGATAAATGTTTGATCGTTTATTTTGGTTTTATTTTCTAGATAGCTAATTAAGAATTCTAATGAAATCAAGTCCAAAGTGGAGCAGAACAGAAACGAAGTATGTATGTATAAATTATTGTAACTTTACGTTGTTTAAAGCTCAGTGATGTCTAATGTTAAACATTGTACATAAAACTAAAATGATTTTGTATGTTCAAATTTGCAAGTCACGTGACAACCAACCACTAATCTATAATATTATGTTACTAATATATAATTCTATGTTACTGAAGTAAGAATTAAACGGAATTTTTTGAAATGTTATAAGCGTGGAAACTCAAAAAAAAGTATTAAAATAATGATACCTTCTTAAATATTAGAGCTAAACAAAACCATGCTTCGTTTTCAACGAAATTAATAACTTTAGTTTAAAAATTAACGATCATTCAAGTAGAATTAAAAGTGAAGCAATTTTATTAGAGGTTTTGTTATGTAAGAGTATGGTGCAATAAGTAAAAGTAAGACTGCCAGTCAAAAAACAGTATAACAAAAGTGAGATGTTTAGTTAAAAACAATGTATCTAGATAAGTGTGCTCTCATGTTGAGTAACAGAAAGTGTTAAAGTCGCGTATTTTAACAGATACTCATGTGGATGACTTTGATATATTGCAGAGAAATGTTTCAACATAGATTTAGACGACACCTCTCGACAAATATGTTTGATGTATAAGAATTTCCCAACCAGGTATACATTGGAAATTTGCCTATCACCAGTATATAGGTTAAAATTTCGCTATTTACCTGAGTTACCAACCTACGTTTAGAAAGAACTTCAAGGGCTGGAATAAAGATATTATCAGAAACACAAAGTTTATTTCTTTTACAATAAACATCGTAGTTAGTTTTTTTATTGGTCAGATATTTTGTTCCCGGATATTTGGATTGTTTAGAAGTACCCATAAGTTGGTACGAGTTCTACAGGACTACTATCCTTTGACACTGCTTAGGTGTGTCAGATGTTTCAGTGAGTGCTTTCATACAATGACGATATTTAGAACAGCTAGCAGCTACAGTCCAAATATACTAACACGTGTGCAGCTTTTCAGGAAATAAAACTGACCCCTAGGACTAAAAATGAATATAAAATTAACATGCTTTCAGATTTTCATTTTTATAGTGACGCAACATCTCTCTTTCTCTTTGAATTTTCTGTGTGCTACATGTGATGGTTCAAAATTTAAACCGTAGAAAGCTCGAGACTTCTAAGCTGTTGTATACTTCAAGTTCATAGCATGGCATACACGTTCTAAAGAACAAGATTGTTCAATGAATTTTTATCTATACTAGTTCAGGGTACCAGTTAAGGAATCAAAAATTGTATAAAGTACAATAATAGATAATGTTCATCTTCCTTCTTTAACTTGTTATCAAATCTCTAATGTCCTCATTACTAATTGTATGGCCTGCTTTGTGGAAAGAAATAATTGGATCGTTTAAGTTACTCGTGACTTTAAATGTAGAACAAAAGTCTATAAAAAAGTGGAAATGTGTCCAATTTCAAGGTGTTTTTTTTCCTCCTTTCCAGCCAAAAATCCAAAAACAAAATAGCCCATGTTCACCGTAGGACAGTTTCCAGTTACCGTACAAAAGATTACGGTAATCGATCAAGCCAACTTAGAGTGGTGATGCTAACACACACACACACACAACATACGTAATAATTCATATTCATTGTAAGATGGTAAGCCACAAGTCAGAAAGTGTTTTACAGTGTCATAACTATCTCAAAACGACCGCTTAATGGTCACTTTGCTACGAGCTATTTTCCTTTGTATGAAACCAGCGTGATCTTGAACTTGATAGTAAGTAAGAGTGATAAATGTTGAAAAAGTAGCTTTAATTTTCGTTTTCATAAAACGAGGCACGGAATAGAATGAAATAGTCAACTTACTTGTCTTCCCGCTAGGTAAAATGCTGTCCAAAGCATTCAGTGGGTACCCTGAGCACGTGATGTTACTATATCTCCAAAACTCCTAAGAAAAGTTAAAAAAATATATTTCAGTGTTTGGTTTATTTTATTTCGGATATTCGAGCAAACTACGCAAGGACTGTCTGAATTAACCGTTCCTACTTTTGAACTGATAGAACAGCTAATCAACAGCACCTACTGACAAGTACTGGGTTACATTAATCGAACAGTGGGATGTGAATGCTATTTGTATAAAGCACTAATAACCCCAAAGTGCAGAGTGCGATTTTTAAGCTGCTACTGGACGCTAACCATAAGTTTTTAGATCTACATTCCGGCATGCTAATATCTAGATCATGCATGACCACACGAGAAGGAAGCTTCTAAAATACCAAAAATAAACATGAAGCCCACTCTTTCATTCGATTCAACACTTATCATTGAGTGTCGGAAAATTCCATCGCTCATCATTAACTCTGGACAAGGGCAAATCGAAATAATATAGGTTCACTGTGGTGATAAGAGACTTCTAAAAACAACAATGAAGTATTATTATTCATGGAAGAATTTCATTATAAAAGCAGCCACCATATACAAAAATAAGATCTTTAATAATTTGTTGTTACCTTGACATTCCTACCACTGAGAAATTGATCTAAACTAGAACTTTTATGATTTTCTGAAAATGACCACCTCTGTGCAGTTAATAAGTTATAATTACAAAGGAGGTACAGCAAACGTTAAACCTACACGCGTATCACTTGTGCTATGTCTCCACAATGACACGAGAGATCGTTTGGGTCACAACCACCATGTGCTGTTTCACACACACGTGTCGATTACAACAGCTTCAAGTTCAAGAAAGTCAAAAGAAAAAGCTCGAGCGAACGAAAGACAACGAGCCAATAAATTCAAGTTTAGACTTTTTCTACATTCAGTTAAAAGTATAATAGGCATAAAAATATTTTACATCCACGAAGATTACATCAAAGTATATGTTATAAAAGTTATCTGTTTCAGTACATCACTTTGAAGCTTATAAATATTAAGCGGTATGTAACACATATAAGTAGTATTATGCGTGGAAGAGCTATGCTATTTAGAAATATTTCAAGAGTGTACATTTTCCTTGATTATATATTGCTAACCTTGTCTTATCGATTATATTCATTAACAGATAAAATTGGCAGTCAATCCTTTTAATTGGTTAAGAGTAGCCACGTAGGCGATGGGTGCTTCTGTCTTACTGTTCTCCCTCTTGTCAATTGTGACGGTTATGTTATTATATATTTATTTTAATATCGATGTTTGTTTAGATTAAATTTATATTTAGAA